TATAGCTTTGTGTGCGAGAGCGTTTTCTGTTCAAAAACACCATAGGAATTTAAAGCCATGTAGAGCCCGTGTCATAGCAACATTTAGTGACATGTCCTTGAGATTTGCTTGGCTCTGTCTGGAACACAGAAACCCCTCCACCTCCGAGATGCTGATCGAAGCATCTGAGCAGTGTTCAGGGGCAGCTGTCAAAACATGATGGTTTCTTTAAATCAGAATAAACACCATATTATTTGAATTTCCCATTTGTATTATATGTATACAACTTTTAAGTAAGTCTGTAGAAGAGAGTTTTTCTGGTTTAATTTTTTTTTTTTGTTGTTGCTAAGAATCCTCCACGTGGTCTTGCATATAGGCCATTGAGTTTTCTTCTATAGCTGTCCTTTCCTTGTTAAATTCTACAAGGATGAAACAGCAGCCTACAGTATGTCCCACCAGATCTGCAGGTTATGGAAGCTCTTGAAACAGAACTGAGCAAGCACAAGCATTAGAGAACTACGAATCTCCGATTTTCTAAGGACATGACAGATCAAACAATGAAAATGAAAACAAACAAAATGTGGTTTTGAGTTACAGCGAGTTGATTTTCCATTGTTTGCAAATGAACTTGCAAGCAGTTCCACAAGCTCATCAGGCCAGGCACCTGGGTGGTATTGTAAAGCTGGGCCACCGGGAGGAGAAACAGCTGACAGGATGACACAGCCTTTCTGTCTGATGTTTCTGGCGATTCCTGATTGGTGATGCCACTAATGTTTTATTATGGAGCTGGATCCATGATATACTGTATGCAAATGCCTGTCCTCTGTATGCGAATTTCTGCAAATTTCCCAATCTCTCACTGGTGATACAAACTAGAAATCAGCACTAAGCCCTCCTGATTCTCAGAAGCAGGAAGGGCACAAGAGAGTGTTCAGTAAAACACTGCTTCAAATGGTGTCATCACAGCAGCAGACAAGGACTAGACTTTGGGAGAAAACGTGATGAAATAATACCCAGTGGACTGTTCCTCAGTAACATACTTTTAAACCCACTGCGAGAGAGGAAATAACTCCACTTTTTTTTACACATTTACACTTCTTAATGGTAGACAAAAAACCAGATGCTAACGGAGAGGTGGGGAAAAAGACACTGGAAGTTTATCTTGAAAAAGATTAATGATGATATTCTGAATAAATTGAGATCAGTGCCATGGGGAAAATGCCTGCAACATTAGGGAGAAAAACAATTAAAAGAGACCTCATTATTAATTTTCTGAAGATTTTCTTCAGCAAAGTTTTTAGAACCATTGCTTCAGATAGGAAACTCCACATTAATAGAGATAATTTGTTGAGGATGTTTGGTATTTCTAAGACAGGCCTTACTTTTGTCACATGAAAGTATTTTTCCCTTGCGGCCAGAAAAAGGTCACAAATACCAAAAGCCATTTCGTACAACGCGATCCAGTAGTTCTTTGTCGCTGAGACACTGGTGCGGGTGGACAAGGAGGAAACAGGGCAGGTTTGCAAAGAAATAAATCAAAAACCGTGTGTCACCCGTGACAAAGTGTTTGAAAATTGCAGATTAAACCATTTAAGAACAGACAAAGCCACAACAATGGACTGAAATAGCACACATGTTTCAGGACTGAGTGCTTCCTGGACTCAGGGCAATTAGCTGAATTCCCCAGGATGGGTTCTTGCCACCACACCTGGAATCGGCCAATGACGGGGCAGGAGCACGGAGGAATGAGGGAGCAGGGCCCAGGTGGGTGTGACGGTCCTGTGGTATTTGCTAATTAGGCTTATTTGGATGCCAAAGTGACAAGTAACAAGTATTCTGGGGATACTGTAAATGTCAGCCCAAAGCTAAACTGAAAACCATGAGAACTTGCGTTCGGTTTAATCGTTAAGCTCTGTTTTTTAACTCCTGGAGCAACGTCACAGGCAGCAGGAAGGCAACACGTCCCTGGCCTTTTGCAAAGGCATTACTCTTTTACAAGAGCCGGTAACTGAATGGAGCGGCATGGTGGAGAGCTTCAGAATTAAAAAAACAAACTGGCAGAATGTGGCCTTTGCCACTCCCTCTCCCCTTCGAAGGGAAAGATGTTCTGCTCACTCTCGATTTACCCAAGACATCACCTTGAAGCATGCTGGGATCTTTGGGATCTTTCGCCAGTTGACATCAGAATGCCAGCAGTAAGGACGCTACATAAGAAAAAAGATATAATGTATAGTTTGTGGTCCAGTCACACAGTCACACAATCCATTAGGAGGCTTAGGAAGCATGTTGCTTTCATTTCCTCTGGGAAAGTCTGCTGGTATAGTAAATTCCCAGTGCATATCGCATGTATGTAACAATGGAAAAGAAAAATGCATTCTTTTTTTGAAATCCTTATGAACAATACATCCACTTTGGTGACATTTTACTTGCTTTCCTTTATATTACAGAGACTGATTCAATTGAATTGAAGTTTAAGTGAACGTATAACCTCAATGGGGTTAGACAGTATTTTTCATTACACTGAACTAACTTATAATAAAAACCCTTTTGGTTAAAGGGCTTGTGAAAGAGCAGGACCAGATGAAAAATAGTTTGCTTGTTTGTATCCAATCAATTTCTAATTAGTGTGGCCACTCTTTGGCCAGATTTCCAATTTTATTTTTTAATTCTACACATACATCTCAATAGAGGACAATAGAGCTCATTCAATCAATGCAGTTGTGCACCACCTACCTTGCATTTCCAATATTTCTGTATTAGGGACAATTCTGGCACATCCTGCACAATTTATGCTTTTTTGAGGAAAGTTACTTTATAGTCAGGAAAATTAGAAAAATAAATGAGAAAAAGTTAGAACTGGAAAGTTGCAGTGATGCTGACAATGTGCAGATAACTTTTAATGAGATCTGGGGTTTACATTTTTTAGAAAAAAAAAACAATGTTCTTCCAAAAAACGATGGATCTTCAGATTAATTATCTGCTAGCAACCAATGAGCTTCTCTCGTTTGTAACCTCTCTTAGTTTCTCCAGGAAGAATGACACACACATGTGAAGAAATAGGGACAGGTTGTACTGAAAGTATGACCTTTATTTGTTCAATTACCCGATACTGGAGGTGGAGCTGGTTTCTCAAAAATCTGTCACACCTCGAAACAAGTGTTTGTAATTCCTACATACTTAAGTACTGTAAATAACTATTGAATGTTTCAAAACTGGCCTAGTCATCACATTTACTTAGTGCTAATTGTATGTATTATATTTCTACACCAGTGGTTTATCCAATATATCTTGTAAATTAATGTTAATTTTTTGCTGTTGGACTTATATTTTTAAGAGCCCGACTGGGGTAATATTCAGACAAGTCCAATAGGATTGCCAGCTTTTTCTATCATAGCTATTATATTTTATTTCAGGGGACTTTGCTTCAATATTAAAGGGGACCACCAACGGCATGGTGGAGAGATTGTTGTGCTATACTGCTCTGCTCTTATTTTGTTTTGTTTTTGAAAATATAAACCTAAGAAAAAGTAGTTCACAAATAGGAATGTGATTCTGAATCTCAGTCATTTGCTTTTTTACTATACTTTTCCTTGATGTCTTAAGGCTTTGGGCTTCCCAATGTTTAATACAGAGAAATGTGGAAGAGCCAAAAATAAACTGCATTTCTGCAATGGTCCTAGATGAAGACCCTCTGATAAAGAGTTAGCATCTGTATCGACCAGTGAAACAATGTCTCATTAAAATGTATATTTCATACTAAGCCTTGCAGAGAGGCCCCATCTTTAAATGTCTTTACCTTCATATTGTTTCTGATTTATAGAGACTTCCTTACTTCTGGCAACAAGAAGCACAGCTATTCTTGATATTTTTCACCCTAGAGAATGTGTTTATGCAAATCTGATGTCAGTAAGTTCTCGGACAGCGATAAGCTTCAAATCCCACTGTCAAGATTAATTCTGGAAAGAATTATATCACTGGTTTCTTCTCTGCACTCATTTTAAAAGCATTAATAATTCAGGGATATTTGTTTTTGTTTTTCCTTTTTATTGATTAGCTGTGTTTTTTTGTCAAATCCTACTTTTAAGAAATACAAGCTTCATATAGAAATAATTTAATGAAGACTGAGTTGGAAATAACACATTTTAACAAACAACATCATATTCAGTAATTATCAAGGAGTTGGTTAGCTTTTCACTAGGTAGCACACAATGCTTTGGCATTTTCCCCTTATTCTAAAACAAGGTTTAATTTCTCTGAATCCACACTGAGGAGGGTTGTACACTGCCAGGTAAATGTGCTTGATTTCAGGATATCCTCAAATCTGCATCTGGGGAATGCACCGTGCCAGGACTGAGTGTCTGAGTGCAGAAGTCCCCAGCTTCCTTTTCCATTAGATTTTTACTTTCTTTTTTGCAATAGCTTAGTCCCAAGCCCTTGTGCCCTAGGGTGGAACAGACAGGATTTCTGGGCAGTTTGCACTAGGTTTCTTACTGACGTTTTATGGTTCCTCTTTTCACTTGTCCTTCACACAGAGTTCCCTGAATGTGTGAACAAGAGTGCTGACACAATAATTGGCCTCGTTGCCTTTATTAGCCCTGAGCTGCAAATGGTTCGTTTTAAAATGAATCTTTAGCAAGGAATAAAGTGGAAAAGTCAAAACACAAGAAGACTCTAACTCTTAACGCTTTAGCCTAAGAATAACAGATCACAGACATGATCTTGATTTAAGATACAGGAAAGTGCACTTTTACCTCTAGTTCAAATCAGTACAATGCTTTCATCAAAGTTGTCAAGTGGTTTAGATTCAGATTCAAGACACTACTCTTATGATGGGTATTAGCAGAACAGAAACTCCATTCCTCTTATGTGACTGGTTCTTTGACTTTTCAGAGAAGGTCAATGCACGCCACAGACAGGAATGACTCAATTAACTCCTATAAGCAGAACAAAAGCTAGTCTTTCACGCATTCCACCACTGAGCTCCAGACTTATGTGTTTTTTTGTTCCCTGTGTCATTGCAGTCTTCATCTGTAGCTTCATGGTTGCAGCCCCCATCTTTGGTTACCTTGGAGACCGTTTCAATAGGAAGATCATCCTGAGCTGTGGCATCTTCTTCTGGTCAGCTGTAACCCTGTCCAGCTCGTTTATCACCAAAGAGGTAAGATGATCCAACTTGATTTTCATCTCCCAGGCTTCTTAACCCAAAGCCTGAACACTGTGTGTGTGAATCCCTGCTTGGTCCTGCTTCAAATTGGAACCACTCAGTATGGATGTGTAAGGAACATGCCACTAGCTAACCTTACCCTGAGGTCGAAATTCATTCAGAGCATAATAAAACAATACTGTTCTTAAAAAAACAGCTTCAATTATTTATACTATAATACTAAAGTGACAGAAAATGTTGAAAGTCAGACGTAAAAGGAAACACTCTAATGTCAAACTAATCAGTCAGGTATCTGGGGAGTTTTAAGATGGACACATATGCTTATTACCAAATACTGGAGGTCTGTTTCTAGATTGATTAAAAGGCGTACTAAATAAGCCTTTTAGGCTATTCTTCTGTATGTTTCTGTGTTGAGTGAAAAGGTTTTTTTTTTAAAGAGGTTGGGAGGTCATTGGTATAAAGCAATGACCTAATGAGAGCATGCGTCACACAATCACCTAATCAATCAGGGTCAAAATGGGCTGTTTGTTAATTATTGGTTCTTTCTTAAAAAAAGAAAAAAACAATAAAACACTGCCCAGGCTTTTGCAGCTGTATGAGATTAGCTCCATTTTAATTTAAGGACCACTGTGAGTTATTGTATGTCCAGAACATCCTTGAAATATGACCAAAGAAAAAAGAAGTAACGACTAGTAGACAAACTATGAATTCCCTGAAGATGACACTCTCGTGGCCTGATTCAGCAGTTCCGTAAATGTGTACAGAAGAGACCAGAGACTGTCCACTGTGATTTGAGGGCAGCCACTTAAGCATTGAGGAGACAGGATCTCTTAAAAGGTTGCAGAGATGGGTGTTATTCAGCTCTTTCTGTTGCACAATGGTGTCAGTCCAGCTGAAACAGTGAGACTTGGAGGAAGGTGTTTTCCGATGCCCAGATCCAGCCTGGCTGATTTCAGGACCGTGGGGAATAGTGGGTTAGATAATAGCACACAGAAAAAAATGTCTTTGTATCTCACTACCCACTAAGAAAAGAACATCAATAATGCCCGTTTTGACAGCTCCTGACCTAATTTTCTACCACATGGGGAATAGCCTACACACTAGCATTAGGATGCTTTAACATCTTGAAAAATGTTTAGGTGAGAAATCAGGAGGATGGGGGGTCGACAACACAAATTACTTAGATCAGTTGTGCACCCAGTTATAAAAAAACACAGTGTCTCAGTCTGAGAAGAGACAGGAGCTGAAAAAGTATCCTGTGAAACCTGTGCTGTGTGCATTACTCTACCACTGTTTTCTGACCTCATTGTTTCAACCACAGCAGCCATCAAGCGACGTAATCAAGGTACCCATCTGGGAACGCACAGCCACACAAATACAGAGTTTCGCACACAAACGCGAGAAGTGGCTCGTTCCAATTAGATCCAGGGGCCAAACGACACAGCGCCAGATCATGCACGGGACAAAGCGGGTTTTTGTGCTGTTTCACAAGGGGAGGGAGGGAATCTAAAATCAGAGGATGAATCCCTCATGGAACAATGTGACACCTCCTCCTTGTGATCACACTGATCACCCACATACAATGGCACTGTAATATCAGAAAAAGAAAAAAAATATTATTTGTTCGGATGTATTAGACAAACATCTAATGTCACTGCTGTCTCGGATTACTTCCAGAGTAAAACTAACACACCGCCTATGTCTTCTGCCCTGCGTTTCTTAGTTAGTTTTACTTTCACAATGACTGTATATTAAAGGGAAACTTCACCCCAGAGTTCTGACATATCACATATTTTTGTGTTCCCCACAGTGCTTAATACATTGTCTAAACGATCCATTTTTTATTAACTCATCTGGCTTATTTACTCATTATATTATACCTTCTATACTGTACACCTACTACCCTGTTATAAATATAGCTATATAGTACTTAACTATCAAGGAAGATTGGAGATTTGATTTATGAGTGAGGAATAGGGCTACCTAAGGGTTCAAGAGATTGCTTTTTTCCTGTCATCTCCAAAACACTTTCATACTGCCAATGGGGGCCAGAGGGGTTCCACCAAGTGTCGCTCCCCAGGCCAGGCACCTGCCCTCTGGTACTACTGGCAGGTACCTGCTGTGGCTCAGGAGGCTACACAGGGAAGATTACTGTACATCGGTAGTGTGGCATGTGGAGGTGTTTTTTGAGAAACTGGATTATTATATGCTTATATGTTATGTTCCCAACTGCAGTTTGGCATTTGAGTTTTCTATCAGTCTGCATTTGCCCTTTGTTGGAAAAGCCTTAGTGGACACTTTTAAAATGTGGGATGTTTAGTGTGGGCCAGCACAGTGCTACAGTGGCCAGCATTACTGCCTCGCAGTGCTGGGGCCCTGGGTTCAGTTCTGGACCTGGTGTGTTATTTGTGTGGAGTTTGTATGTTCTCCCTTTATTTTCTTGTGGGTTTCCTCTGGCTGCTCCCCACAGTCCAAGCACATCCTAGGTTAATTGGCTTCTGGGAACACAGTACCTGGTGTGTGTCTGTGTTTGCAATGGGCTGGTGTCCCATCCAGGGTGTACCCTGCCCTGTACCCACTGCTTGCCAGGATAGGCTCCAGCTCCCCGGAGACCCCGTATTCTGATTGGCAGAGGCAGTTCAAAAATGGATGGATGGTATATTTAATTTAAAAAAGTTACATTTACCAGCTCACAATACTAACAGGAGAAACTTTGGCTTGGCAGCTTTTTGATTCAAGAACCTCTTCATTTGAAGAAACCCATTAGTTGCCAAAAAGGGTTAATTGATTAATTCATGACCTCCAGATGTTTCCACCAAATGCATTTGACAGTGGAGTGGCATGCTAAGCAATTTGAGCCAAAAAGTACTATTTAAAACGTCTCTAAGCAGACGTTGGCATGGATCAGGAAAATGTAATGAAATGTGTCATGGAAACAATTCCATTAGATCAACATGTTGTGTCCTTCAGAAAGGAAAAGTCAAGTACTATACAATGCATTAGAGACAGCATGAAGGAAATAAATGTGTAAATTAAAAAGTGAAGGCTATGTTACTGGTTCAGCATAAATCTATGATCTGTTATGGAGCCACTCCTTCAAATCCAGTAAAAGGCTAATAAAAAACTATTCTCTTGTTAATCATGGAAAATTGGAATAGCATAGTCTTCAAATGCTTTTTACTTTAGGGAGTTTAATGAAAATTCTTTCCAATTTCCAATTAATCTGCTGTTTAAACCACATTGCTGTGAGTTGCCAAATGAAAAGTAACACACATCAGTCATCTAAAGATTTTTTATTTCCTTCAGTCCCAGTTTGGGACAGCACTGGATAGTATTCTACACTGGCTTCTCTTACCCCCCTGCAGTCAGCACATTGATTCAATAATAGAGCCTGCTTTGGAGCAAGCCGGGGTTTCTCAGAGAACTGTGCGGAGGATGTTCTCTCCAAGGTCATCTTACACGTGGGCTGTCAAGATCTTCTGATCTGTCAGCCAGCAGCAGATAACTGTAACTACGCAGAGCACTGAACACTTATGCAAGAGTCTCAGATGTACAGAATGCATTAATTTTAATGGGAAGCCAACAACAAGAGAAAGCCTAGAGGGTGGTCCTCGTAAATATTTCTCCTGAAAAGGTGGCAGATGCAGTCAAAATGATGTCAGTCTGCGTTTTTCAGGAACTATTGAAGAAGCAGGCAGATGAGAACATTGCAGCTCAACAGCTGTTTTGAAAAAATAATCTTAGACCAGTTTTGACCAAATCTCACTCATCTCACAGAACCAGCAATGATTCAGTTGTCAAGTGGTGGACAGGAAAGATACCTTCTCACCTCTGATTGAAATTTTAAGTTCCATCATTATGATGACTTGTGACTGGCCTCACATTTTTCTTTTATTTAGAAACAGAACCTTGTCTTATTAAATTTGTGAATCCTGGACACAAAACAGCAGAGACAATAGGAGCAACATGTGGTAGCCAGGTGGGCTGCATCAGTACAGTATCCAACATACTGCATACGCTCATGACCAAATTAAGACTGATATTCACACCACAGGCAAAATTGTTCTAGGTCAGTTTGTTCTGTGAAGTTATGGAGCAGAAAGAATAAAACTGAAAAGATAAAGCTTTGGTGTACAGGCACAGATTCAAGAGATTATGTACATAGTGTAAAGGCAAGTGTAATTAACTTCTTACATTGAGTTTTGGTTTTGGGTGGTTGGGTGCTAAGGGAATTGTATGTTGTTAGTATCTGTTTTTGTCTTTCGGTTTTTAAAAATAGGCCACTGTTGACCCTTCATCTTGAAGTTTGTTTCCTCTTCAATTATGCAAAAAAATATTTCAAAGTATGCATCATTGTTCTTCAGAAATGGCTAGGGGGCACAAGTTCAATAATTTATAGTGCTGTGACCTAACTACTGGTTTGCTTATAGATACCACTTGCCACCACATAACAAATGTGTTATAAATAAGTTTTCATCAGAATTGCAGTCACTCCATTTATCCATAAAACAAACAAAGCCACAAAATGAACTCCCACATTTTAAAGATGTGAGAAAGCAGCACTTTTCAGTATCAATTGAAAACTCCATAATGATTGTTTACCTGAAACAGATTGTCGTAGCTACTGCTCAGGGTTTCAGTTTTCAGATTCCTCTTTGGATCAGTATTAAGCTGCGGAAGAGGGAACTTTCTGGCTAAATCTAAATAGACAATAATGCCTCCTTGGCCCTCTAGCACAGAAGAGAGAAACATTATTTTGTCATGTATGAGCACATCACAAACCAGAGCCACTCAGAATAACCCTGTTCCAGTCAGCACTGCTTCACATCATATAATCCCCCTGGAATTATGTAATAGCAAAGTAAAGAACTGTTCCACAAAACCCAGCAACACTGGGAGTCATCAGGTATAAAAGAATGCTATTAATGGAATGCAGTTCATCCCTAGACAGTTCACTGCTTGTTTGAACATGTGCAATAAAACACACAATTTTCTATTTATATGTGCTTTATCTCTTAATCTCTTCTTTTCCTCTCTTTGTAACTTTTTTATCCTTTTTTTGCTGGAGTGCTGTTTACAAACTGTGAAATAGCAGTCACCACTTGCCTGCTTAGTTTAGCAGTCCAGCCTATTCTGAGATCTGATCTTGACAATCTGTGGATTTTTTTCTAGTTTTGTTTTTGGCACAGCTCACACTAGGTATTCCAGCCGAGATAAGGAGGAGACAGAAAGCCATCATCAAACTGTTGCAACTTTTTCTTCTGGATTTAATTAAGAGAACTGGTGGAATATCTACCAGCTATAAAGTGGTCATTTTTATTTTCAAACACTCTTATGGTAAAACCAGCATCACTTAATAAAGAAAAGCACTTAGTATGATGGGTAAAAGTGTATTAATCACAACATAGATGAAAGCAAAGAGTCTAATCAGACATTTTGAGGTTTTCCTAATAAGAGCTTAACATTGTTTATAATAGGTGTTATAACCTCTTACGCTGTTCAGCTCATTAAAATAAGATTGCTGTTCAAATTTAATTCAGCTGCAGGTGACAGTTATGTTGTTTTGTTCTCCCTGTTTTACCTGTAGGTGAATAGAACTCTAAGTTACTACTAATTATATTTTAAAGGGCAAAAAGTATAGTTGTTGATTGATTGACGCAACTATACTGTTCTTTTTATCAGGTTCCTGGTTTCTTTTGACTCTAAACAAAAGGACAATTTAAAAAAAAATGTTTGAGATAGTCCTGCAATAGGAAAATGCCAGTAAGCCAGAAGCATTCTAGTTGGGTGGTTGCAGTTCTGGGGGAAAATAAATGATCACAGAAACAAACCAACTTGTTCTGCAGCTTTTAGCAACAGCCTGTTTATTCTGCACTAGAATGTGAAATAGATCGTAAATAGCATCGGATAATTCTAAATGCATACACACACATCTCTCTTTCTGTGCTGCAGTGCTGTCTAAGGTGATATTTAATCATCCACTTGCTAGAAATGTTCGAAGGTGTAAGAAAGACATGCACATAGAGCTCAGGCTTAGATGCACTGAGCATACAAAACTGAATTCTGTGAACAATTCTCATTATGCTCACAAAACGGTAGGAAAGGGAGTTGCTTTATATATTACGTATTTATATACAGTATGCAGTCTCTGGGGGACAGTATGACCAAAACTGAGGATGTAGCTGTTCTGCTGAATAGCCTATATTTTACTGCAGTGCAAGTAGGGTTTTTTGAAGATACATGCATGGCTTAAGATATATATAAAGGTAGAGTATTTTGAGAAAGGGAGGAGGTACTTCCACATGAATTTCCTTCTCTTGTGTTGGCGCCAAAAAGAGCAAAGGTCAGTATCCACATTTTCAGCAGAAAATACCACGTCTCCTTCCGATGGCTGGCTCAGGCTTCCAGTTTGACTGGAAAAAAGGCACTTGTGTTTTACCCCTGGCTTTCAGGTTGTGATGTACCATTCGCAAAGTGGGGGAAGAGGAAGGGTGGCAGCATGGGATTTGTAGTTTTTCAACCATATCTGTGGTGAGATCCACAAGTTTTTAATGTAATGTGTTCAGCTGCATATGAGTCGGTGGGGGGTGGGGGAGAATCTGAGAGAATAAATTAAATGATGTTACATACGCTGGCCTGTGTAGGAGTTAACACCTTCACCACTCACACATCAGCAGCTAATAAATCCATCAAGAGAAACCCACTGAGGTTTTCTTTTGACTCCAGGACCATTGTACATCTGAAGCAGTACACTACCACAGACTGACTCAGTCATCACACTATGAGCGTGAGATAAAATTTAGCTGTAGCACACAGAGTGTCACAACAGACATTCGACTTTTAAGGGCATTTTATGATGAATACTTGTGGGACCAATCTATGATAACCATTTTAGACACTTTAACTTTGTTGCTGCACAAAACAGTAATAAAACTGCCAGGGTGGCTTAAATAAACCTAACAGGGTGAAGTCAAATTATCTCTTATCTAACAGGGTTTCTGGAATTTTTGTATAAAAAAGGATCGACATCCTTTGAAAGATGTCCAAAATAGCAATTACAGCTGAAGAACAAAGAGAGAGCCTTAACTGCAAAGCGTTTATTTTCATTTTTTTCAAACAGTATAATTTAGAATGAATAGAAATAAAAATGAATGGCACAGCAGAGGTTTGTGTATTAAAGGTAATGGGAAAATTGTAAATGCTTAAGAAAAAAAATGTTTCAAATGCTATTCCTAAACCCCTTTCATAACATTTACAGAACACAGGGTAATTTAGGTAATGCTTTTCTTATCATTTAACTTAAATGAAATAACATAATTTCACATTTAATAATCCCTAAAATGTCCATTCACATTTATCTGAAATTTACACTGGTTTCAATAAGGAATAAGAACAATGTTGGCTATCTAAATTTCTCTTTTTAAATCTATTAAATTGTTACATGGCAGAATGCCTTACGGTACTTTGAGTAGGAAATACAGAAAGGTAATCTAGGTTTCTTATCCTGTTATGGTACTTTCATTGTCATCTCATAAATCTTGTCAATTGAGGGTCATGAAGAATTATCAGACCACAATTTAATATTCAGTTGTGTATCAATTTAATTTAATTAATGTCATGTAAATTAATGTGCAACCATAATGTCAGTGGCTTTAAATTCCACTCTAGTCGCTAGCAGCGGAGAGATGAGGAGTGATGTCAGCTACAGCTGAGAGATTGTCCCTCTGCTGCTCGGTGAATAAAATCAGATTGTAAGCTGCAGTTTTAGAGCTATAATTCTAATACCTCCTATAGTAAACCAAACATCATAGTAGATTTATTCTATTTTTTGTTCTCGTGCTGTAATGTCACTTCCCTGTATGACTGATGCCTGTACCTTAGGCAAACTATACATTAACTGAGTCACCGAATATGGAAATAAACGGCTTTTGGAATTCTAGCCCTGTATCTATTCTGCTTGTTTGTTTTGTGTTAGTTCTTAAAATTTGTGTTTCTAAGAACGCTGTCCTCTCCACGCAGTATTACTGGCTGTTTGTCCTGTCGAGGGGCCTGGTGGGCATCGGAGAATCCAGCTACTCCTCCATCTCTCCAACCATTATCGGCGATCTCTTCACTAACAACACACGCACAATGATGCTCTCCATCTTCTACTTCGCCATCCCCCTGGGCAGGTAAGCTGTGCTTCTGGGCAGCCGTCACTCAGCTTTCCTACTCGACTGCTCAGAAATGACGGGCAAGGTCAGAATAAATGACACTCGAGTGACTCACCCTTGACCTCATTGATTACTCCTACTGCACAGTCACCGAGCACTAGAGTCATCAATTACTCTGCTGTAGCTCACAGTCACGACCAGCATTTGCAATGAATGTCAGTGGTGCAGTGGTAAGGCTCCATGCAGCACTGGAGCCCTGGGTTGAGCCCTGGGAGTGGAGTTTGGACGTTCTCGCAATGTTTGCGTGGGTTTCCTCCCACAGTTCAAAGACATATTAGTAGGTTAATTGTCTCCTTGGAAAATTGCCCCTGGTGTGAGTGCGTGCATGACTGTGTCTATGTTGGACCATGCGTCTAAGATGGACATGCGTCCCGTCCAGGGTATACTCCGCCTTGTGCCTGTTGCTTGCTGGGATAGGCTCTGGCTCCTCTGCAACCCTGAATTGTCTAAAACAGTTAAAAAATTGGCGGATACTGACAAAAGAACAGTATGCTTCAATGTCACTGAGATCTGCCAGATTAATAAACTCGTTGACTACATTAGATTGCTTCTTTAACTTGTTTTACGAATGCAATTAGCTAATTATTATCGTCCACAGTGATGACATTTTCTTATTAACGGTGTTCAAGTCTTCAACCGAGATATGACAAGCAATGTGGGTGTATCAGGAGTGAAATGATGAAAAGCCATTCAACTCAAAGGTCACAATTAAATATAACCATAGTTCCCACATGAACTGAAGTGTCTTCTACAAAGATGCTGCCTTCAGGCCAGAAGAGACATGTCTGGGGCAGAAGTGGGGAGGAGGGACCAGTGTACTGTCCTGGTATCTATGAGTAAATGCCAATGGACACAGGATGTCACAGTCAATTGTTGTACTTAGCACAGGCCACAAACACCTAAATGAAAGGACTGAAGAAAGAAGAACAGAATGAACAGAATGCAGAAGAAACCAGAATGAAAAAGGTCAATCCATCTCCCATCAGAACAGAGCTGGTCTTCAACTGTGCCTTTAATCTCAAACATCTTCGCAAGAAAACACATCTCCTTTGGAATGGGAGGAATCGGAGATCGGCTAATAAAACACGATAAAAAAGGTTTTAAACAAATCAGTTCTTTACAATATAGCCGAAAAGCTTGAGTTAAGAGCCAAATCCATTTATTTGGAGATTGACCAGAGGCTGTTGAGCACTTATCCGGGACTAATGGGCAATTCTGATGTGGTACTGTAGATCTGCAGGTTTTCATTACAAATCAGTGAAACCAACTTTCTATGACTTATCAGGACCGATTCAACAGCTTCTCCCAGATCTGAAGGTGCTGCTGCTTAAAAGTGAATTAAAATTCACGACTGCCCACCCCTGCACTAACGGTTTAACTTTTCAGTTCTTTCTGAATTCCTGGCAGCTTCTTGCTGGAGGATAAGCTTTGGCTGTGTCAAATTCTTTTATTCTTAAATGTGTCAAGAGATTGGAAGACGAGACAGGACCTAATTAGATTTTTTTAGAAATGAAAAGATACTGTGGTATGCTGTGCTGAGCTGTCAACAGTTAAGAGGTCTGTGAGAATCCTTCATTACTGTCTTTTCTCTGTGTTTTAACCTTCTATATGACATTTGGAAATATTTTCCTGCTGTTTCTACTCATTTTCAGCTAACGACATTCTGATCTATAATTTCAAGCATCACACTTGTTAACTAATTCCACAAATGTTTATCAAAGACTTCAGATTTCAAATCAATGTGCGATGGAGAACTACATGTTAAGGACCAAAACAACAGATATTTATTACAAAGAAAAAAAGCATTAAAATCAACGATTCAAAACACCCTATTTGAATCAATACTTGTAAAATTATTTTACACTCAATGTGGACTCAATGAATCCTGTTTCACCCTACTTCTCAGATAATAACAGCAAATGAAAGAGGTTTCCCGGTGTCTTTTCATGCTGCAATCTGCAAAACAGCGGACACAGTGGTGAGAGGATACTCCTTCACAGCCCTTGTTAGCCACAGGAACACGGGAATTTGCCTGAAGATCGCTTAGTTCACACCCGAATCCAGTGCTCCTGTCACTCGGCCTGCATCGCCCACTTTATAGAGCTCTCCAGACACTGCGTGCAAGTTACTCGCCCAGGATTCACACCACCACTCTCCAGGTTTAAGGCTCATCCTACAGGCTGGACAGTGCAGAGAGAACGAAATCGTCTCCTAGTCAGACTGAAAGAGGGAGCATGTTGACATTGCTGTTGACTCTACTTTCTTGTACCTTTTGGGTCCTGAGTTTGCCTTCTGTGCGGAATTTGCATCTGCTCTCATATTGTCGAGGGGGTTTTCCCCTGATGCCCCAGTTAACCCCAACCTTCCAAAGACATGTTGGCTTGTCTTACAAACTATAGTAGATGTAAAACTAAAAAAAACTAAATTAACAATAGGTATTTAAGAAGCCATTATGAAAATACTTTATCAGACACGCACCTCGCCTACAAATGCTAAAGAACCCAGACTGGAGAAAGGCCAGACCACTGGCACGTTATTTTTTTTATACCCATTGTTGTTTTTATTCTTAATAATAATTGGACGTGGTTCTAAACCCCATCATTCATCGCTGGCTTTCATTGCAAAACAGTTGAATTTTTCAAATGTTTTACCACCGAGCTGTCACTGAACGGGTCGAAACGTCAACTCCTCAAAAGAATTCTGGAATGCCAAAGCAAAATATTTAATGGCAGTTAACGCTCACTGTGAAACAATAAGAGCTGAGTGACTGGACCTCATGCAGGAAAGTAAAAAAAACATCCTCAACACTTTCAGTCTTGTTTGTTGTTTTTGTTCGGGAGTTGTTATTAACGGTTTCCAGGAAGTGACCTCAAGCGTTGGACACGCTGCGCAGGAAATGGTTTTCCTTGGTTGAATACACACACCCTGACCAGCCTGTCTGTTGCCTCCTGGCTCAGTGGTTATCTGTTCAGAATATCAGCACTGGCTTAATTGAACAGTCTAAATAGGCAGTGAGTTGAATCTGATAAGGCTACATTATGCGCTCTGCTGGAAATATTATTAGGCCTTTAAAATGTTCTTAGGCAATAATTCTTAAGGTCTTCTTTATTATAGTTATTTCACAATTATTTTTTATAAGCATAAAGGTTTACAATACTTTAGGTGCTACTTGAAGAGGAAGAACTTTAGGCTGCTGTTTCTTATGGACCCTTTCAGTGATCAACACTATGGCTACATTGGTCACATTGTGTTTGGAATGCATCTACAGTATCATTATCCACTTTGAAGACTAACTTTACCCTGTTGGAATCACCTTGAAGCCTCATGCAAGTTGTATGTTGACTACAGTACCTGTATTAACCATAACTAGCTCATTGTTTGCAGCAAACTCATTAATGGTGTCAATAATACTAATGTTGTAAAACAACATTCATGAAAGTGCTGCTCGACATACAAAATTATCAATATGATTTCATAATGACGATAACATACCCCTTAAAAGCTGGCTCGTCAAAGGAAGAGGACCAACAAAGGGAGAAACTTAGCTGCTTATACACATTTGCAAAATGGAACAGGACTAGGAAAAATAAGTCTACACACACACATGCTTTACAGAAGGCTGACCTCAGCTCCATTAGTCATGAAAGGTATCATACCCCATAAGGTGTCACAGTGAACGGGTCTAAACAACAGACTGCATGAGGATGTACTGTGCTCTGTGTCTGGAAAAAAAACATCACTGCCTCCATCAGACTTGTATGTGCTGCGATACCTGCAAAAAACCAAGCTTAAAAATTCACTCCGAAAAATTTTCACTTCCAATTGAGCCTTATAGGACAGGGTCAACACTTTAAAACGAAATCCTAAAGTTACCTTTATCTTTCGGTCATTAAGCAAGTTTCAGAACACAAGCAAAAATAAAGGAACTTGCTGGTGATGAAATGTTGTAACTCCTGGGCTGCAGCTCAGCATACGAATCAGGAGGTTTTCAGCAGTAAATTTCCTAAAATAAAAGTATCCCTGGTGGCACAAATACTTCAATAGTGTGGCTGCTGTGTGCCGAAACAAGAAGAAAAAAAGCAGATGATATTTTTCTTCTAATTTGGAAAAGTGATTTTTTTTCTGATGGTCTCTTTTCCTCCAGTGGTTTGGGCTACATCTTGGGATCAAGTGTAAAACAAGCTGCAGGCGACTGGCACTGGGCACTGAGGGTAAGCAGAATCATTCATGATCGATTCCTTCTTTCTTTAGGTGTATTTTTTTGTCAAGTTCTATAGCTGTGGACAAGATTCTCACAGACGCTGCACACTACTGGAGTAGTGTAACTCAGATAAATGACTGTGCAGCTGTTTCACTCTGTATGCCATGAGATCACCGCAGCCTAGACCAGGATAAAACTAGACACTCTTTCTTTTGTTTCTATTGTATTTATACCAAGTTCTATAAAAAAGAAGGGTCTCCAAGGCCTCTCACTTAGAGACTGACACAGAAATGCAATTCTCAGCATTTTTCGTTAAGCCTTTAAGTGCAGAAAAACTGCTCACCTGAAAACTGTTCCAGCCTAGGACATTTACCGTGAAAAAATAAAAAAATGAGCATAGTTTTCTGACAGCACACCAAAACAAACATTATTCCCTTATGTCAAATGAATTGCATGCAGTCAAATCCGGCAGTTCTACAAAGTAAAAATAGGCCTCAATTGTACATTTTGAAAGAGCATATGGTTTTGAAAGTATCTGATAGCACAGACTGGTGCTCGTTCAAAACAGCTAGCCTCAAAGGCATGCAGCTAGTCCACAATTGCCAAAGAAAATTGTTACATAGAAACCCTTTGCAACAGTTTGCGATTGTTAATTGAAGGCAACATGCCTCGATGGATTACAAGACCTCTCTGCAGTACCATCTACGCAAACCAGATCCCTGCTTGAGCTCTATCTTAAACAGCAAATGCCACAGCAGTCTTGAAGTAGTCAGACCACATGTAGGGTGAAGTATAACATTTTAACACTGCAATATTTTCTTTCAAGACAAATTTTGGTTTGGATGTTGCAAGCTGAAGCCCTCCACAGTTGTCATCTTGTGCATTTAAAGGCAAGCAGGGAGCTGCATTCATGGTTGCTGGTTTCTGTGGTGCAGCTGTGTGCATCTTGTTTCACTACAAGAAGTGAAAGCAGTAACACATGGGTAATGGCTAAAGTACACAGTAGGTGCCATATTTAAAGCACTCTAATTAAAGCACACAAAAAATTTAGAATTGGCACAAAATGGTAACTTTAGATGTCCATGGCACAGGAAAGTCATGTTCTAAGACAGTGCCCTTTTCACCCATTTCAAAGAAAGAGTGGTGGCAAAATTTTGAAATGGGCTGCAAGGGTATTCACACACGGTATGCCACACAAAGAAACGATCCGCTCGGAGGCGCTGATCAAAAACAACAAAAAAAAAAATGAGGTTGTACCGCCAATATCCTGCTTTGAGGAAAAAACACTTTGTTCGGCTTTCCGTCTGTTTTGCGCGCTCCGAGATGTCGGGCTTCCTTGCTGGAAACCTCGGGAGAGGAGGGGGAGGGAGACTTCGGAAAAGGCAGGGAGTAGATAGGCATCTCAACAGATATCTATCCCTAGCAGACTGGGCAGGAAGGGACCTTGTGGACTCTGGGACTTGACCTTCCACCTTTTAATTGAGGCTGAGAATTTGACTGCTCCTGGGAAGGTCTGTCTGAGAATGTTTCGGAGGGGCTTCTTAAGATCCATCCTTTCTTCAGTCTCACTCATTTAAGACATGCCGGGCAAACCCAATACAGTATTCTACCAAACATAAGAGCGCAAATTAGCAAAGGGCTGGACCACCTCATAACCCTGTGAAGGTGTTGCTTTAATTACAGTAGTGATACTTGTCAGTGTTGCATCATTCTCCAGAAGGAGATTTCTCCAAGGAATTTTATTTTGAAATCCCACCCCATCTCCACGCCTTAGGATCTCCCCCTCCAATATCCATATCCATCATTGGACTTCCCTGTGAATTCAGTTTTCATAGTGCATCTCTTCTCGAAATGTAATGTAGTGTATATAGCAGAGTCAATAGACTTAGACCTTGATGTTCACTAGCTGGAGTTGGTGTTGAACAATAGAAAGAGAAAAGGTTCAGGTTCAGGTCTGCTTAAGAATTAAAGGTTCTCATTTTAAATGATTTGGGCAGCTTCTGCTCAGATAGAGCTGGAATCGTCAATCTGAAATTAATAGGTAATTTAGAATTAAGAATGATGAGCAGAGGCTAGAACTAAAAAAATAAAATAAGATCACAAAACAACATGTACGATTAAGACTATTTCTCGTAAGATATCTCAAAAGACCTATGACTCCTATGACTTTCCAGGCATGATGCCATTGACTTTTGGGTAGCACAGTGGCTAAACATACAAGCTACTACTGCCAGCTGAACCCATGTGTGCCAAGATATGCCAATATTAAAAACACTGCTAGGTTGGGTGATACCGATACTGCAATGCCTCCTGAGGCCCTCCTGTAAGCCTGCTAGATTTTAAGAAAGGAATTTCATTTGACAAATGAAACTGGTTTTCCTTTCCCCAGAAGTCCTCATCTCCCTACACTGCAACTTGTTCACCATTAGTTTGAAAACATGCTTTCTGCATGCTAAAGTCTCCTCGTTTTTGCATTTTAAATCAAAACAAAATGCCAATTTAAATGTTTCTGGCTGATTTGCAGTCATTTCGGCAGTGTTTTCACCATGGTATTAGTAGGTAGGGTTGAAGATGAATGTTCTTTAAGTACCCAAACTAGGGTTAGGGTTAGGGTTTGAACAGCACTAGACAGTTCGTGATGCCTTTGCTGTGCTTTAGGATGCGTTTGAAATGCAGGAAAGGTGTTGGTTTGTTATTTCCTTGAAAAATAATTTTGGCCCAATTTTGCCGTTTTTGCTGACCGAGCACTTGTCAATCAAAAATGGTCAAAAATGAACAGTTTGAAAACATGCTTTCTGGATGCTAAATTCTCCTCATTTTTGCATTTAAAACCAAATAAGAATGATACGTTTAGTTGATTTTTAGTGGTAATTGTAATCCTTACCTATAAACAGCACAAAAAATTCTTATTTAATATTCAATTTCAGCAGCAAAAAAACAAAAAAAGAAATTCTGAAAATTTGAAACCATTTCACATTAGCTGACAAAACTGTTACTTTAAATCTCACCTGGGTATTAACAAGCCCACTGGTGATGTACAGTAAGCACCCACATTTTGTTCCTGTGTTCATGATGAGATAGTCTCCCTTAGTCACAGTACAGCTTTTAAAGAAGACAATCCTACAGCAAGGCTTTGCTTAATTACGCCACATAACTAAAAATCAATAGCACATTTATTATGGGCTATAGAGTTATATATATAAAAGGGGAATCACAAGAGAATCTGAACGCAGTAAGCACATCAGTAATAAAATCATTTATAACTTTATGAGCTATTCAACTTACTCCATACCTGTACAACAATACTGTAACCTTTTTATTAAAAACATGGAAATTATAAAAACATGAAGGATGAATTCCTCATATATAGAGGAGCTAAAATCCATGAATTTGAAAGAGAAAAGCAGACTGAGTTTTGGGGTCCGATGTTGGGCGATACCCAAAGCTATAGTTTGAGTACATGAATCGTGCAGCAAGCCGGTCCAGTGATGAGTGTTGTGCCGAGGCTGACTCACAAACAGGAGCCTTTTCTTCCCCCTGGCAGGTCTCTCCAGTTTTGGGAATGACGGCAGGGGGCCTGATCCTGTTCTTCGTGCCCGAGCCGAAACGCGGGAGCGCGGATCAGCTCGGGGGTCGCCTGAAGGCTCGGACGCCATGGGTCTGCGACATGAAGGCGCTGGCCAAGAAGTAAGAAGAGGGCCTCTAAGTAAAGAATACTAGTAAACGGGGCAGTTCTTCCTTCCTGCAAAGCCAGGGGCTCGTGTCTCTTGCGTTATGCTGGCATTAAACCCGTCCAAAGTGAAACCACTGCAGGCTTACATCTGGAGGTCCATCGTCCGCAGTGTCCCGAGATCTCGGATACATTCTGGTTTTCCTCCCTCAGCCGGAGCTACGTGTTCACGTCCCTGGCATCGGCGGCCGTGTCCTTCGCCACGGGCGCCTTCGGCATGTGGATCCCGCAGTACCTCTTCCGGGCGCAGGTGGTACAGAAGACTGTGCTGCCCTGCAACCAGGAGCCCTGCAGCATCAAGGACAGGTGAGTGCAGAGGGGGGAGCCTGCCTTTCGGTTCCAGCTTCATATATATATTAGCAACATATATTTAAGGGTCTTGCTGTGAAAGTGTTCTGCTGGACAGCTGGCAACTGTTCCCAGAATTAGGAAAGAGGCTCTTGTGAATTATAAGGAACGTCTGGAGCATCTAGTGTTGAGAATTAAGATTCAACATTGGGAATCTGAGGGACGCAAGCGTATTAATGTAAGAGAGACCCATATCATCCACAGCAATGCGGAGGAAAAATGTTGATTAGGCCAACAGACAGTTGAAAGGTATTCTCAGATAGAGCTCTGCTGGCCAGCTGCCCTTGAGCAGCCCCAGGAGCGCGTCACTGAAACCGAGAGATTCTTGAGCTTCACGCTCTACCATCTGTTCATCAGCCTGATCTTTGGGGCCATCACCTGTGTGACGGGGTTCCTGGGAGTGCTGATTGGGGCGGCTGCCACCCGCCTGTGTCGCCAGAAGACGGAGAGGGCGGACCCCCTGGTGTGCGCCGTCAGCATGCTGGGCTCAGCCATCTTCATCTGCCTCATCTTCGTCGCGGCCAAGAAGAGCATTGTGGGAGCTTACGTAAGTACTGTCTGCAGGTTTGGACTTGAGAATTATTCACATCAAGGCATTTATATATATCTAGATGTACGGCAAGGAGCTAAAAATTCTTTAGTTTCTGACATTTAAATAAATATTAAAAAGTTGCCCGAAATAGCGGTTGAAGAAATGCTATCTGGTATTTTTATGAATGCATCCAAGTCACAACAACTTACAGAATGGCTAGTCATGCATTGCTAGTGCTTGTTTTTACACAGTGGTTTAAATAATGTATAAATCTTGTTTTATTTGGTCTCACAGCTTTTAAAGCACCTGGCAAACCATCTAGCTTTTAATCCATCACTAAGGTGGAAAAGGCCAAGAATTGTATTTATTTTGCTTTTTGATTACTAAGGAAATGAGGAAGGGTGCAGCCCAGAAAAAGACCATTAGAAATCATATTTAGGGGCCAGGTCACTGCCTGGTAATAGTCAGCTTGGCAGTAGCTTCAGGGTTTTCTTCAGAAAAGCACCGTCGCAACGTGATTTATACACAGCTTCCCATTGTTTGTGGAAAAGAAACAACCTGCTGTGTAAACTGACCTTCACTTTTTCCACAACCAGAGTTCCCAGCAAAAAAGTCTTTGATTTTGAAGGAAAATAAAATTATTTCTTCCTAAAGAATAATGTTGCGTTTCGTACTGTACAATATACAAATATCATATCTGCATAGAAGAATGTTATATACTGCAATATATATGTGTGATAGCCTCCAAATTTATTCATGCCTTCGAAGCAGATTGCTTTGGTGAGATGTACTCGGTTTCAGCAAAACTGAAGGTTGATTTAGCGTGAAAAACCAGATGTACATCAAAAACTAATGACTTACGTAGCTTTTAATATTAATGTATGCTGTAAAGAGAAAACCTGTCAGAAACAGTTACATCAATTCATCTATCATCGGCTGCTTGTGCTGTGTTGTTCTGGTGAGGGTCATAGCAACAGCAAACCTCTGTCTTAATACACTGGATGGGAATCCAGTCCATTGCTTAACCCCAGACAGCATTTCTCTGGGAGAAAGATAGAAACGGACATGCTTGACAAAAAAACATGTGAATCTAGGAAGAACGTGCAAACTCCCCATCTAAGGTACCCAGAATCCTGAATTATACTGAGCCATCGCCGATCGCCACACCAAAATAGTTACAAATATTTCTAAATCCAGAATATTCAAATGTTTTTTCAACTTCGGCAGCAGTTTTCTCTGCTAATCTTACTTCTATTGAGAGTGTCCAAAAACTAAATTTATGTTTCATCCAATCTTACCATGTACTCTCATTTAATTTGGGAGTCAATTACTTGCCATTTGACAAATTCCTGGTGTTTTACATTGCTGTGGAGATCTGCCACAGACCCCAAATATTTGAGGTCAGCCTCAGACGACAGTCATGGACACTTTGAATTCTGCTGATACCAGAGGTTTCTGAAGATTCACAGTTGTTGCCCCTGGGTGAGGGTTATTCTCCTATGTCACTTTTCTGACTGCACATCTGGCTAAAAATGTCTTACAGTACATCCTCTTCCTAGTGGTACAGCAGCACTCCAGTTATCCTTGAACGTTATGATTATGAAACATGCAGCTGAAGCTGGGAAGTTTTAGAGCAGTCAGTACTGTTGTTGAAGGTTAATCACTTTGTACATTAGTTCTCCAGCCAATTCTCTGTGATGTTGGGGTACTGTTTGCTCTCCTTCCATTTCAGCTTCCTAATATAATACTCTGTAAAAATCAAGATGGTATTCTGAGGCTCCTTCAACCTCCTGTGGGTTAGTGAAACCAGTAACTGAAGAACATATAAAAAATAGAAATAAGCTGTATAGTTGTATAGATATAGTTACATCATTTTCATACATTTTTATCACATTTTAATTCTCTAATTTTCTTTATTCACCAGCTTTTGGTTATAGATCATCAAGGGTTTGAAACATTTCAAAGGCTGATAATTTTCTTGATACTAATAATTGTATTTATTATTTTTGTGCTGTTGGATATTCTGCATTTGGTAGACCATAACAAGAACTAAACTTCTGTTTAATTCATGGATCATTTGTGGCTTTCTCCCTTTATGACTATTACAAGACATTGTTAATAATAATACGATTCTTCTATCCATTTTCTCACTGCTTCATCCAAGTCTCTCTCAGCAAGCACTGGGCACCAGACAGGGTGCACCCTAGATGGGACTCCAGGCTGTTACAGGGCACACAGACACAAACACTGTCCGCACCAGCGAGACTTTCTTTAACGGACACACATTCACTCCCCCTCCCTTTCCAGACATGAACAGGGCACCTTCATCCTCGCTTCCTTTCCCACTGCTGATTATGCCAAACTGGTGTCTTTTTGAGAATGTTTGCTTTGATCTTAACCAGTCTACTCTTTCTTCTTGCAATTCTTGAGACCTTTATTTTTGCTACATACACAGGAAGCATAAAAATACTGGAAAAATATTTATGGAAAAAATAGGTGGTGCCGCAAGATGACCTCAATGAAATATTTCCTTTTCCTGTTTTGTTTTTTTTAAGGTCAATATATTTTTACTCACCTGTGCCAAATAGTCAATATAAATTTAAAACACAGACTTAATTTAAGGCAGACTTTTAGAATTGTCTGCCTCTCCTCATTACTGTATACAATTACCAGTTATATTTATAGCTTCCTTAAATACACAAATGTAACATTCTGAAGGCTCAGAGGCTCCTCTGAGGATATTTGTTTTAATGTGTATATCCTGTTTTCTAGCCTATTGTTGTGTATTTAAAACTGGGACTGGAAACCTGAAGCCCTAGTGGACTCTAGTAGCTGTTCATTTAGAAGAAAGAAATCTGAGTAAGAATCAAAGGGATTGGGATGTCAGGACTAGTTTGATGTAATGTTGTACCGCTGAACACTGCAGGAAACTGGCAGCTGAGTGTGGAGGCAGGTCTTTTACCCCACCTGACCTCCTGATAGGTGCAAAGTTTATCAATGACATGTCAATCATGCTGAGCTAATGGTTTCCAAGCTCCTTGAGGGCTGCAAGAGTGAGGCACACCACACTCAGGCCCAGTCCATCGAGATCAACACTCCCCTCCATTTTGCCGAAACCAGAAACTTAAAAACCTTAAAACAAAAAGGTCACTGCAAATATCTAGGATTCCACTGAAACCCTATATGGTTTAAAAGAATTGCAAGAATGCTGGTGACATCTGTTGTGTATAGGCAGCTGCCCCACACTTGTTTTGCTTTGTTTTTGACACACATTAATGACCAGGCATTCCTGGGTCCTGCATTTTGTGAGCAAGCGCCTTTTAATGCAGAGCTTTCCGGTCCCTGAACTGCCCTGAGATCAAGGAATACCTGCTATTTAAATCAATTTCTTTAAATTTTCTTAACATTTTCTTCGGCATTCACCCTCATTGACTGCTACACTTTCCATCAGACGGCCATCACAGAATGTTGTTACACATCACAGACAAGAGAAAAATGAAAATGCATTGATGGCAAAGAGTGAAAATAAACTACCACTTGCACAAAATTTCCTTAAATATCTCCTTGTCTTTCATTGGATCTTTCTTTAGATGAGCTCCAAATCTATTTATGTAGCATTCTAGATGACACTGTTCATTATTCCTTTTCTGAATACTTACTGAGGTGTGACTTTTTTGTACCCAATTATTCAGGTGGCTCGAGTGTGAAATTTGGGTACGAGCTGCGTATTGGGAACAACTGAGTGCGCTACACGTGAACCATCTTACTGTTAATGGGATGCTAAATTATTTTCTGTTCTCGTTTTCCTCCTCCTCAACAGATCTGCATATTTATTGGAGAAACACTACTGTTTTTAAATTGGGCCATTACAGCAGACATTTTAATGGTAAGTCACAAAACCATACACTTCTCCAGTGACTGGAATCTTTTATGCAATATTACACAAACGGATGGTATTATTTTCAGGCCTTAAGAGCGTAAGAGGAGCCAGGGATTGCATACATGTTATGATTTAAACTATAATTATTCTTGAGACTAAATTAAACTGAAACACCGCAACTGGAACCATTGCAGTTTCAATACAAAACAGTTTGGGATTTTGATTATTGAAATATATGAGCTTCAGACCTTGTACACAGACACCCTCCTGAAGTGATCCAAGCAAAATCATATGGCATATGCTCTTGTTCTGTTCAGTAAGTGAGCCAGGCCATCGTAACACACTGTAGATATTCAGTCATTCTTTCACACTCCAGACAGGTACTCTTCACTAGCAAACAGCCAGCCGTGTCTTTCGTGATCACAACGTCAGCCTGGGTTTTAACGGCACGGGCCTCCTCTCTCCGTCTCCGCAGTACGTGGTGATCCCTACACGCCGAGCCACGGCCGTCGCCCTGCAGAGCTTCACATCCCACATCCTGGGCGACGCTGGCAGCCCCTACCTGATTGGCCTGGTGAGCCCCCGCCCTGCCCACTCCCACAGCGACCACACTCGCCGTCATCAAACAGGACTGGCAGGGCTGATCAGTTTAACCCTACAGGGGATCACACCCCTGCAGGCTGTACAGGAAGATTTTAAATGGGCTGCCGACTAAGACCTGAGGGACAATTCAACTGAGCAATTCAGAGCTGTGCTTGGGAACGAAACATCGTTTGTGGTGGCACCTGTACAAGTGGGTTAATCTCCAGATGGGTCAGCAATGACTTATGAATACGAGATCAATAACAGCTGAAAGGAAGCCATTCAGCCTATCTTGCTAATTGTACTGCAAGAAGCTCAGCGCTATAGATAGGACAGGAGAAGTGCCCTGGAAGTGTTATAGAACACTAAGTTTCTATCAGCATTGAAGAGATTAACAGCTAGAATGGGCAAGAACAGTTTTACCAAGGTTCTCTAAACCTTAGGTGTTAAAAAAGGGGGATTTCTCTCTTTAAAACATGATGTGGTTTGTCCAAATAATATAGTAAAACATTAACCTGCAATTCTTTACAATTGTTTCTGTTCCCAGGAGTGTCCCCACATGATGTCATGCATTCCAAATAAAGGTCAACATTCCATGAACTGCAGTATTAACATCAGGCTTATTTACAAAAATCACCCTTGAATACATAAATCATTTAACACTGCACCTCACAGTGATGCGGTCTAGAATCCTTCTTGCATTGGCTAAATTAACTGATGAGTCACATCCCACAAATCGAAAAGAGTAACATATACTTTTCCTAAACACAATTGAAGAGGTTGTGAAAGTCTGCCCACTGCAAGGGCCTGGTGTTTTTTGCATTTCCACTGGAACGAATCTGAAAGAATGCTTTTATTCAGAGTGAACTATCCAGCAAAATATCTGAATTAAATTGTGCCTCAAGCAACCTATTTTTCAGACCATTTGCTTTTTTAAATGATGTAATGAATTTTTAAACTTAAAATCTGGGAATTTGGCATTCTTGGATTAACCATTTGGCCTCAGAAAAAATAAATTGCCCTGCGTGTAATTTTAAAATTTCAAGTCACAGTGCAAATAAAAATTAGGATTGCTGTCTCAAACAGCCTATTTGTTAAAAAAAGAGCCAAGCAAGAATTTCTGCCTTTTTTCTGATCAAATGCTGTTCAGAAAATTACCACTATTTGGTAAGAAGAGAGGGAATCATTATGGCTAATGCAAGGCCTGTCATTCCCATAGAAAACCACTGACAGGCCCTGTGGTAGACAGTGATACAGCTTCAACAGAATCTGGGCATCCCTGAGGCTCCAAAGAAAAGGGGATTTCTTCCACATGAAACAGTGCACAGTACTATAATAAATAAAAACTGAATTTTATCGATTTTTTATTGACTGTTAGAAACAGAATTGCCTCAAAAATTATTCTGTTTTCCACTGATCTTCAAAAGGTAGTTCTGTCATTTTCACCCACAACTCCAAGACAGAACATTTTTACTTGCCCCAAAATTGTTGGGCTTATGGCTCTCAATCTAATGACAACTTGTGCATTCTAAAAAGCAAATGTTCTCTTGATAATCCACAGAAATTCTTAAAAGATGTGGAAAAAAAGCTTTGACTTAAATGCTGTCACACTCCAAGTAAAAAAAAAAGTTTTAAAACTGATGTAATAAATTTCTACAGCAAAAACAGCAGACTAAGACTTTCAGCAACAATGGAGGAGTCAACAAGCCCAAATGATTATGAATAGCTGTCAAATAAAAGCTGAAAAACATCTTAACTATATTACTCAATAATGAAAGGTAGAGTTGCGTGGCTGTTATATTATTTGAACTTGGACAGTTTGCAATATTTAAACTAAAGGCCATGGATGAGGCACGGGTTATACCTCAGCAGTTCTTAATTCTCAAGGTACTTGTCCGGGCAACAGCCTAATTCAAAATCATTACTCTTCAACCTAAGACAGAGGAGGGGGAATAAAAAAGACCTCATGCCTCCAACCACATGAGTAGTCATCAGTACAAAATCAATTATTTAAAGCCCTCAGCGGCTGAGAATATTTCAACATTAAAGATCGAAATAATTAATCAGTCAGTTCCCATCAGAGCTGAGTTCTGTCCCTTATTAAAGCAGCAGTTTCTAGCATCAGCCTTTTCCCATTCCGTTGGTTTATTTGGATCTGTTGGTTTTGTACAGAATTGTGATTAGTTAATAATGCCACAAACTATATTCATAATTTCTTTAGAGGAGGCTTTTATCCAAGGTGACAGGTTTCAAGAGCTTTGGCCTATCCCCAGTGAGAATTAAGTGCATGAGCAATTTGAAATACAGATTTGGCTGTAACCTGCTTGGCTGATGGAGCCATAGTTTGGACAGAAACACCAGAAACACAAGGTCATTGGAACTGGGTGGCCTGAGCCAAGTAACTGCTGTAAGGACAATGACAGGGTGGAGGGTGGTATGAACACTGAGCACCACACAATAATCACAATTTGTTCACTTGCCATAGGTCATGGTTTCTATGTTATTACTTGCAGTAAATAGTATCAGATATCTTGATTGCAACATCACCTTTTCTGAAGGGGCAAAAAGAAAGGATTGTCAAGGTTTTGATGTTCTTGCTTGTGTGTGTACCTGTGCTGGCAGATCTCTGAAGCTCTCCAGAAGAGCTATGCCCACTCCAACCTCTGGAAGTTCCTCAGCCTTGGCTACGCCCTCATGCTGTGCCCTTTCGTCATCGTGCTTGGGGGGATGTTTTTCCTGGCCACTGCCCTCTTCTTCCTGGATGATCGGGAGAAGGCAGAAAAGCAGTAAGTCTTCTCCTAGCTTCAGGCAAAGTCTTTCAGTGACAAATCTTATGCATCACACACCCAAACAAAGCCATTACAGAATGTATTCTATTCTTTACATAAGGGTACAGTATATCGGCGCATACAGTAAGGATTCCTAAGTGCATTAGTGCATGCTTGAGTATTTCACAAGGTTTTTTGCTTTGACACTTAAAACATTGAACTTTGCCGATTCCCTCACCTCCTAGCTTTAAGAGTATGCAGTTCTTTTATGTACATTTCACAATTAAGAATGACATTTTCGGAATACCAGCCACTAAGAACCTAAAATGAGGCTGCCTTTGTGCATGTGGTGTAATTTCACGTAAACTGCAGTTTGTGGCAGTAAAAAGGGCTCATAAAAAGGTGGCAGGAGAGCAGACTTTAATACTTTCAGCAGCATTTAAAAGTGTTTCATAGGTACAGTGTTGTACAGGACAGGGATCCTTTGTAAAAGCTTTGGAACATTAACTGAGTCAGCACCATGCTAAAGAACCTGATAATTACCCAGTAGGGGAAATTGCATTGCTTTATCCTCAATAATGAAAACATTTAAGAAAAACTTGCATACACATGATGTTCACTGGAACCTTGTTACTGAGCCATTGACCACATATCAATGTTTTGGCAATGGAGGATGTGTAACAGACATTCATTCAGCATCAGAATAACCTTGGGAACAGTCCCAAAGAGTCGGCTCTCAAACTTCACTGTGGGACATGTACTGTAGCAGCTTTAACATTTGCTATTCTAAGGTGATGGACAGTATCTCAGTGCTTATGTTGCCTTTCTAAAGACGAACCCTATTTATTAATAGATTCTTTTTTTACTCTAACCAAACAAATATCAGGTCTTGGTGCACTGTTATTCCCTTAAAGGGTAAAGAAAAACATTCTCCTTCCAATGCCTAGCATTCACATACTTTTCTGGACCTAGCTTCCTTTATGCCTCCGAAAAATGATTTCCTTCCTTCCAGATAGATGAAGAAGACATTTTTAGAAAAGTGGCACATACGTGCACCGACGTGCATGTCTCTTTGCTGTACAGCATGCACAAGAGCTATTATTAGCCTGCTCTTGACCCTGCTAGCTTTCCCTACAACAAAACAATAGTTTCTAAAGAAGAATGCAAAGCTTATTCTATGTTGAATCTTCGCTGTTCTGTGGAGGGAAATGTAGATTTTTTGTTGGAGTTGGAGAGTAAGGAGAGTTGTAGTTTTGAAGTAATGGGAGTATGCAAACCTCACATTTAAATGACAAAATGAAATTATTTTGTAGAATTTAGTTTTCTCGATCCCCATATACCAACAACAGGAAAGAATGAAAAGAAAAATGCTAAAAATGTGCTGGCTTCTATAAACCAATAAAAAATATCTGTTCTCAACAGAGCCCCCTTCTACATATAAGACACTTAATATAGCTTATAGCATATAGCATATAGCTTAATATGTGCAGGTCTCATCATAATCACTAGCTTTATTAAAGTTTAATATCACTGACTTTGAACTAAATTCTAACATTAAAAAAATTTTGTAGAGTAGAAATTTACTCTGAAAAATATATTGATATTTCAAGCAAGGAAGTCTTAGTAGACTATAAAAAACAAATACCATGTTTTTGTGCAACATCTAAACATCTAAACAGTCATTGTAAACCATGATAATAGCTTGTAAGACAGCCAGGCTGAGTATACACTGATAAACTTCCCCTTTTGCGGTTTGAACTGCCCCACAAATTCATCTCTGCTGTTGATACCCTTGTCATATTGGACATAATCTCATCACACTACATCCTATATTGACTTCTGCTAAAGTGAAGTTAAATTTGGAGGTCTGGAAACTGAATTCCATTCCAGGAAAATTGTATTTCCTGTTTCAGTGTCAGAGGGGAAAGATAGTTAAAATGTTCAGGGACAGATTGCAACACACATGTAAAAAAACAGTAAAGTTTTGTCAACTATAAATGTACATTTCTCCATATAATTCCAATAAACTGAATACTGTCATAGAAGTATGTTATTAGATTCGGTCACATACATTCTGCAAGATCTGCGAGAGAAGTAAAAGACAGCCCACAACACACTAAAGATGCCATAAATGGGATTTTAAAGGAGATTATACTTGCTTTTTCTGCTGACGAGCTGGTGACCCCTTATTCCACTGATAGTGACCCCAATATCCAATGCATTTCACTTTAGCTAAGTGAATTCTACTCCATTCCAAACCACTTCCATAATACTTCAATGTCTTGCACTATTAATAAACTATAAGCTGCTCATCGGAAAGCTGGTTTCTATTTTCAGTTTGATGTATGTATTTTTTTCGAGAAAGGACAATTATAGCTCAGCCTTGTCAAGTGGCTAACCTCCCCCCCGTCTCTGATGCAGCAGTTCCCTGTCTGACACACAGCTAATGTGATATTTAAAGAAGGCTCTGCCTTGGGCTGCACACTGCAAGCCTGAACTGTGCATGACTTTGCCTGAGAGCTCAGAGGCTGCCAGAACAGATTGGCACTCTGCAACAGCCTCTGTAGCAGTAATGAGGAGAAGGACTCGGTGACCTATGGAAGAACATAAGAACGGGTGTGCACAGAAAGAAGCTATTTAAATTCACCTACATACATTGGCCACTAGTAGTTAATTGATCCAAGGATCTCCTCCAGCCCACAGCTTCAACACAGCCAGGTGGATTGTTCTCTACACTTTCAACAAGTTCTATAAAGACATGTCTACTATTCTCATTTTAATAAGAGCTCAATGGCTGACCGAACACTATGACTGTTCCCCTACTATGCCCAGACTGTAGGGGTATTACAAATCACCACCCATTACCCATAGCTGTGAAATAGAAAAGGAATAGAAGAACTGAGTTACTAACAGAGTGAATGGAGACAGTGTGACGGCACATTCATAAAACACTTTGATAACTTCATTAAACTTTGTCTTGTAATAATGAGAAGAGTGTGATGAATTTGTGAAATGTCACATACGATAATTTATTTCAAGTATTCACTTTTTTTAGTGCCCGCCGGAAGTTTAAATGTTTCTTATGGATTAAGTATGGGACACGCAAAATAAAAAGGGTCTATAAAAGCTTTTTGCAATTGAAACTGTATCCTCTCTTCCTCTCAGTCTCACAGTCTCACAGTCTCACTTCTGCTCTCCCTGCAGGCTGAACCAGCTGAGCACTTCACCGTCTTCTGTGAAGGTATGAACAGGTAAATGTTATTTATTTGTAATGAGAAGCAACGCTAATTTAATGCAGGTCTCAGAAATCTTTCATGGAGATTAATGATGAGTAGCCATGGTGGTTACCAGTGCTGGTTCAGGGTACAGTTTGGGGCATCTGTGTGGAGTTTTCTGCATATTCAGGTTTCTTCCCCAAATAAACACTCCAGCTAGGCTCGATCGTCTACTGTGAATTGTCTCTTTCACCATCGCCCCGAGACAGAAAACATCCCATCTATGGAGAAAACAGTCATGTGCTCTCAGTCCCGCCTGACGTTCAGTGTTTGTGGACAGTGCTCTTCAGGATAAACAACTTTCTCATAATGGACAGAAGGGGGTACAGATTGATGAAGGTGAAAAGGGGCATTTTAATTATGAGTACGGCTCTAAAAGGCTGTTTCAGGTCCTTCTAAGTGGCTAATGTGTTGGAGTGTAGGTTGAGCTCTATGGTTGCAGATTCAAGTCCAAGTCATGGCATTAAGCATTGACTGACTGACTAAAACTCCCCAAGTGGCAGCACACAGATTGAGATTTCAGTAATATACTGTAGAAGTAATTTGACTGGTAGTGGAACGTTCCCTCTAGTCTACAATGCAGATGGCAAGAGCTGAGTGCCGCAGACTGCATCGTCTATTTAACAAGCAGACTTCCACGCTATGTTACACATCACACTACCCCCAGAAAGTAAGATTCATAATCCAAACTATGCTGAATATCAAAATAACGTGATTGATCTTTGCTTTTATAAACTGCATTCAACGTCAAAAGTAATGTCAAAGGGGCAATTCAGTAGCTGTGGCAAGAAGCAGTACTCGTGTAAGAAAAACATTCAAATAGCTGTAAACTTTAGTGTGGAGCTTCTGCCTGCTGTTCCTCCCCAGAACCAGTCTTTTAAAACAAGAAGAGTCTTTGAGGGTCCGAGTACACTGAACCTTCACTGTTCTATGTTCATGCCGCATGGTTGCTGCGATGATTGGTTTTGCTGTACTTCTGGAGCAATGCAATGACCTAGCTCCCCCTCTCTGTCCTTTCCTTATCAGAGACAGCCACTCGCTGAGTGGAGCCTCCAAACCTAATTACTGGAGCCCTGCCTCAGCCTAAAAAAAAAATTGCACGGGAAACCCTCCACACAGGCCAGCATGCAACAGCAGGACAATGGGGTTTCAAGCAACAAACTAAAAATAACAAGATTAGGTCGAGACTGACTGATTGGAAATACAGAAAAAAATGTTTTTTTTTTGTTTTTTTCTTCAAGGTAATTGCACTAAGACCCCAGTCATAGATACGAGTCTTAACCCTTTGGCAGTCTCTGTGATATTGCCGTTTCCCATTTCTGTTTAAATTCGTAGGCTGCCAGGCCAAGTGTTTGCGTTGATAAGATAGCAGCTTTGCTGGTTCAAAGTAGAAACAGGAAGCATCTTTGATCAGTACAGGGTAGAACAAATGTGAAGTGGGCTATTCTGTTGTGATAAGATGAAAGAAAGGGCAAATTTAGCACCCAAATGTGCTGCTATGTGCCCGACAATACAACACATTGTACATTGCAAATTATTAAACCACAGCTTATTGACAGAGCACTTTATACTAACTGAAATTTTTCTGCCTGGCATTTTCTTTGCTTGTTCTGTAAATATGCGTTAGGAGAAGTGTTCATTTTTGTTTAATTACCATTTAACTGCTTATTCCAGCAGAGAAAACCTCTGAAAAGACTCCCCAAAACTAATTGTCAGGGAGCACAGAGAAGATATAAATTGGCACCACAGCATGCCAACTGTTTACCCAGGAAACAATCTCAAATTATCCCACACCATCTACAGTAAGGCTTTGGGAGAAACACAAAGAAAATGTCTGACACCCCCATCTGTTTCCTGAGATGTGCATTACTTTAAAGGGTTATTAGCACATCCTTTCAAGAAGTGGATTGGCCAGATGTTCCCTGCAATGATCAATACTTGATGGCGCAACAGTAAAACACTTCCCCACATCATTTCCTGCTATTTCACATTTTTGAAGAGGCCATATTCACTGGACAATTTCCAGAATTTCCAGAAGAGATAATGAAAGCAGAAAAAGAAAACCGTCTAGCTACCTTTTATTATAAAGTAAGGAATTTAGAAACTGTAAAGATGAGAATTGCTAAATCGATACTAAATGAGCTTCAAGTAGCAAAACAATCCCAATGCAAGCAGTGCTGTATCTACGTTAAACACATTTGGTGGTCCTCCTTGTTGGTAACGGACGCAAAAGAGAATAGTGATTTAAATGAAAACAATGGGTGAAGTACTCTTTAGAATCACTACGATCAATATATTCCAGCCTCTAATCAGAAGGAGCCAAGACTGGAAGTCAAGCTTTCTAATAAGGCTGCAAAGGAAAGTGAGACATTACTGAAAGCAGTTTTATACCCCTCTTGCTTAAAAACAGATAACAGAATGTCCTAGTGATAAAGTGATAAAGTAGGTGGGGAATATAACTGAATTGGTGTGGGTGCTATTTGATGAAATTCGGTACTGGGGACAAAAATTAAGTCAGGCATAGTGCATGTGCCAAAAGGCAGCAGATGGCTGTATTAAAGAGGGAGAGAAGTTAGAATCATAGTGTTTTTAATCACTTAATGTATCACAAGCCATTAATCTTCGGCAGCAAGACTTAGATCAGGCCCAGATGAGAGAGGATCAGATTTACTTCCACGCCGTGTGCTGTGTGCCAGTCCTAAACAGTATTTTACTAGACTCTCCTTGATTATTAAGGAATGCTGGAGGAGTTAAGTGATTGGATGACACAGCAAAATAAGCTATTAAATAATCCTAAAATTAGGTACTTGGGACCTAAACGACTCAGTTCTTTTACCAATACATCATTCCTGGAGCTGACTATAGTACACAAACTACTGGAAAAAAAATCTTGAGTAATATAATCTACAAATATTTACCTAAAATAAAGTCTTAAAGCTCGGTGTGAACATGTACTGTATACACGCTTCCTTCAGAGGGCTCCTTTCATGAATAACACACATAGTGCCTGATTAAACAAGTTCTGTCATATTTTGTCCCTCCAACAACTACAAAAAAAATCCATGGACCTGCCTTCTGTAAGACGTTTTTCTACCTTTCAAAGTATCTATTGCTAGAATTGAAACAGAAGAAAACAAAGCCCCCTCTTTATTAAGTGAAAGGAATCATTGGGAACTGGAAAAAATATCCAGGAATCAGATTACTTGGGGAATAAACAAAATAGTTAGGGACTCCATTTCGTTGCCTAGAAACTGTGAAAGTGACCACTTTATTTTTTTTAAAAAAGGACCAAAAACACCAGACAAGCCCGTGGTAGGGAGTGGACAAGGGTTTATCTTGCCCAGGACAGAAGGCCAGAGGGGACTGACACGGTCTCCCTGTCTTATTGGACCAGCTACAGATCTTAAGGCCTTTGCCAAATCCACAGACCCATTCAGTTCTGTTCTTGAGCTTGCCTGACTTCCAGCAAGCTGCTTTAAACCATGACAGGAGCCCTCTCAGGCATCCAGCAACAGACTTGCAGTGGGGTCTATCTATCTCCCTGAAAACTGCACCAGTGTAGGTTGCGATAAGGGTGGGGTACTTTACCGATAACGGAGGGGCTTGAGCTTCAGTTTCTGAGCAATTTTTTTGCAATTTAATTCAGGACAGCTTTCAAGTTTTAGTCACACCCCAGAAATTCAGCTCCTTATCAGTCCTGGTTCAAGACTCTTATTTCCAAAAATGTGGCTTTAGCAGCTTAAGCACAATACAATAGCTTCCTTGCACTGGCTTCATGTGGATTACTGAATACAATTAAACGTGCTGCTGCTCACCTTGAATGGGTTGGAATGGTTTAGCATTTGATGGCATCAGTGAGCTGTACACCTACACTTTTACATTCTCTGGACTCTGGTCTTCTTTCACACATACCAAAACAAAGCTCTGAAGCCTGGAAGACGTAGAAAGAGACTGTACTTCTCATTCTGCCGTCTCCAGGCTGTGGAAGGATCTCCCAACCCAATTCAGAGTTTACAAGTCAGTCAGCACTGTTAAACTCCAGCTTAGAATTCACTTTTATACTCTAGCATTTAGTTAGTTAAATGTATTAATTGACATGTATCCATTTGATTTATTGTGCCTTAAAATTATGCATCATGAGAAGCATCATTTTCCAATGGATCTTCCTCATCCTGTTGTATTTAATGAGTTAGTGACAGATACATTTCTTCCCACTTAAATGAATCAATTAACCATAACCACCTTTTCAAAGTCAGCTTTCATTAAAAACAAATTCTGCTCAATCGAGCATACAGAGTATTTATGCACACCGGTTTGCGTGACATAACACAAACTATTTACTTTTTGTACTGGAATAACACAGCTATTTACTTTATTAAAATCCCACAATCCAGATGTATTATTAATTATTCCCTATGCCACTGCTGCCTCTCTTGCTACAGTGTTCTGTGAGCTGTGCCACAAAATGAAATAATCGAGGCCAAATCATTTTTATTACTGTTTGCTTGGAGTAAACTGTTCTAAGGGTGACCAACCAGACAACAGCAATAAGATTGGGGTTGCATCTTCACACATTAGTACTCGAATCAGGATGACATGTTTTTAAACAAAAGCAGAGAGTGCAAGAACAATAAAAACATAAGATATGTTACAAACGAGGGGGACATTCAGCACACCTGGCCTGTTTAGTAGTTATTATCCAGCTGCTTCTTAAACAAAGCCAGGGCGTCAACCCTGCAGTTTGTTCCACGCTCCCACCAACCTGTGTGTAGAGAAAAGCCTCCAGTTCGGAGTTTTTAATGCACTTTCACTTCTGGCTCACGTTTCACTGCTGGTTCTGAAGGAGTCCTCTGCATTGATCCTGGCAATGCCAGATTCCGAGATGAATGCATCTTTCTGTATTAAGGAGGTCAGACATGGGGAAAACTGGAAACTAGAAAGAAAGAAAAAAGGGCAAAGTCTGGGACCAACTGGCTTCGTCCGTGTAGTAAAGGATCTAGTTTCCTCCTGTGCTCCGATTCTTCCCCGTCTGCAAGTCTGGTGTCAGGAGTCCCATTCTCAGTGCTGAAGCTCTCCATAAATATTCATCCCCACACACCTGACTGCATTTCTGGGGTGTGCAGCAGGGGCACACATAATTTAATAAATGTGAAAATGAGGGCAGCAAGGTCTGTCTCTTTTCCTATGAGACACTGGGAGAAAAATCTTTTTTTCCTAGTTTTAATATCCAAGGCCTGTACACTTTTCATGAAGTACTTTCCCCGTCTTTACTCGCTCGTGTTCTTTTGCTATTGGAGGGAGGTAGGGAGTTGGTTGAGATGTATTTATTATTTCATTCGTGTTCGTCCTCCAGCAGACGCTTCTCCATCAATATTTTCACCCAGGAACTGCAGTGCATTCTTGTGTCTAAATTAAGGCAGTTTTGGGTTGCCGATTGGCTTAAGTGATAGAGGCTCTTATCGACGTGCAGACTGAGCTCAATGGTCATGGCCTGGGACATGTTACTAGTAGACTGTGACCCGGATTAGCAGGACACAGATGACCAAATGCCACCAGCGGTAGGCTGGGCTCTCCAGCCAACATGGCAACCCCTGTGACCTCCCAGGCTTGGAGTGCCTTCTGTACATGACATTCCTGTGATTTAAGCATCACTGCAACTTATTTTTGAGGAGCTAATCATGATAAAAACAAGTTTAGTCAACTGGTGACAGACCACGACTCTCTAATACTAAATTCTAGCCCAGCATCATTTCCTAAACCTCCCAAGTGGGTTTCTTTTGAAAAGGTACTATCCAAAGCATAGCAAACGAACAGCACTCAAACATAAATTGCAGGAATTGTGATGGGGCACCAGATCCTAAGTGTATCTTCCTTTTTTTTCTCACAGGTCTCACAGTGAAGGGGCTGGAGACTCAGGGGAGATGTATTACCTGGAGTTCTGAGACCCCATTCGAAGGAGAGAAGGACCCGAGAGTCTCTAGCCTACGGACACGTTTGCCCTTTTTTACTATTATTTCCAATCAAGAAACTGTTCTTAAATGGAATGAAGGAATGCACACTGATCCAAAGACCCCTCTGAACCACAGAGGATATAATAGTGACAAGAGTCCAATCTGTGAACCAAACCATGGGACTGGAGGGGGTATTTCCTAGCCTGGGACATTAGTGTCACATATGAACTACGTGAAGACTTATCACAAACTGATAGCATTGCTACTGAGGAGGTTATAGATATATCATGCCATGCTTCACCTGCACAAGTGCCATATCTACAGATCTCTAGGGATTTCAAACCAACAAAACTCATTGAGCAAGAGGCCACATAAAGGTGTAATCTGTGATTCACACAGTGAAAAAGACCCTTAATGGTCAGCTAAAGCAGCCTTAAGGTCTTTGGTTCAGTAACACTTCTACAGTATCCAACACTTAAAAGCGCGGTGCTGACTCGGCCACTGAGGAGAGGAAACATTTTTATCAAGCTGGAAAAGAAACCTGGCTACCGCAAACACACTGGATACTTTCTGCAGACACGGCTATAGTCATAACTGGAGGTATTTACCTATGATGGTTCCTGTCTATGCAGAAGACATTGCACTGGCAGTAAAATCTTTTTTTTTTCCAGACCCGTAGGGTTTTCAATAATCCTAGCAAATATGAAAAAGACAAGGCTGATGCCTTTACAGGAGTTAACTTGCATTTAAAATTACCCATAACTATGCACATTCTATTTCATTAGCACTGAAGTGCATCAGTTAAGAATGAACAATTCTACCCTCTGGGCACAGAATGCCTGGAGATCTCTTGCACTTTGGCTTAGTTTGCAGTTAAACAGGTTATCCTGCCATACAACCACGTAAGGAACAGCTGCAGTAAAACTAACTAAAACACTCCAGAAACTTCTCTTCCCAATGCATTAGGACAGGCAACTACAGCGAAAAGAACACTGAAGAGGCAGTTGAGCTACAGTGTCTTATGCATCTTATAGCCAGTCAAGATTCCTGGATCTGCCCCTTTTACTATTGTATTTGGGGTTTTTTTTTTCCTGGACACAAAAATAAGTCAGAAACATCTCTGACTACAGTAGACCATACTGTACAGTCCCAGAAAAGAACTGCATCTGTGGTCACATGCCAGTGATCTAATGTTAATGCGTCCACCAGAAGAACGTCCACTAATTAAACCCCACATCCATCAGCTGCTGGCTTGCCTTGAAGACCTTGCATCTGAGATGCCTTGCAAGGAAGCACAGGACACGAGTGCTGACCTGGCATAAAATGAAAACAGCAAAAGCACCACCTTTGCTGCAACCGATTCAAGCCCAAGAACAGGACACTGTTGGACTGCACTGCTGGAAATGCTGCAGTCTGTGAAAGACTGAGTAAGTCTCAGTGTGGCAACAACATGGGAACTACAGACAGAGATGGTAAAGGTGAAGAGGCACCTACAGATTCCTCATTCAGTTATTTGCCTTCAAAAAGCATTACTTTTGCTTGCCTTTGCAGGCCCCTTTCTGAGAACACTCACTTTTTTGTCCACAGTCAACAAAGCACCTTACTTAATCAAAAGCATTACCCTCAACACAAGCTGTGCTCAGCAAGAAAACTAAAAGAAACTAGTTCTTACACCTTACTTTGGAGGTCAGACAGGATTTGGTTTGTTATCAACTGGTTTCTTTCAGCTTTCTAATTATTTCATGATGAAGCCTTTTGAAGTTGTGGATGAGCTTCTGTTGAACTTGCGTGTTTACACAGCAGAGTTATCGTATCAAGCTCCGTTTGTGATTGTTTAATGTACATTTTTACAGATATGAGTTTATATATAAATATATAGAGAGATATATATCATTCAGCAGTTTTTAATATATTGTATAAGATAGCTTCAGGATGTCTCTTTCTACTTTTGTTACTAAAATGAAGAACTCTTTAAAAGGAGGGCAGATGGATTTTAAGTATCTTTTCTCTTTGGCTGGTTTCAATGTCTTTTAACTGCAGTTCATGCTGCTGATCTATACATAGTGCCCTGCCTCCTGAGGCACTTTACCTTTCTCCATCAAATCAGCAATACTACATACACCTGGAAATGAAAGAAACTGACAGCTTACAATCAGCATTCTTCATTCCAATGAATATCCCTGGAGTCTGTCTTAATTAAGGCTCCAGAGCTGATAATGCAAAGAAGACAAAGAAGCAAGACCCATTAGCGCAAGCTCATGCCGATTTTGTTTATAAAGTGCAGTTTTTTTTAATCTTTTAAGAATTATCAGCAGATGGACTAATTTTTTCCTCCAAACAGATGCTAGATCCATAATTTCCTTTCATCATTCAATTAATTTTGCTCTTCAAATGAGTTTGCTTTGCATTTGTTTGACTCCATCAATAATAACAGAATTGCGTAATTTAATCTATTTATTTTATTCTATCCTAAAAGACAGGCAGGATTTACCACATATAAACAGTGAAAATACTTGGTGTTAAATTCACAGAAACCTTCATGAAGTGAAAGGCAGCTTTTTGCACTTAGTCAGTCAAGCCCTGCTGGGTTTGCTTTCAGGACAGGTGGATTAAAGATTTAGTTACCGAAAGGCCTGCCAGCAGGTTTTAATTGAGCATGCTGATGTATCGGAGATCTTTTCCATCACAAATGTAGATTGACTAATAACCCTGTCCCCATAATCGGTAGAATTCAGCTTGGTACCCATGTGAAAAGACACACAATGTGAAGCACAGTTCCTCTAGCAAAGAAAGAAAAATGAACGGAAAAGCTGGTAACATTTGGACTGCTGACTTCTAGAATCTCAAATTCTCGTTTGAAAAGGGAAGTTGGAAGTTGGAAAGCTGTTAAGTCAGAGCAGTGCTAAAAACATTACCAGCCCTTTGAAAATGCCTCTAATGTGCTTCTGTAAGCACTGTGGTATTGTATTCCAGAACTCCATTTTGACTTGTTTCAACACTTCTGTATAGAAGGTGGGAACATTAACAAGAATCAGCTGTTAAACAAATATCGTCTTTATTAGTTCAATCCGTCAATTTTATAAATCCTCAGAAGTCTGCCCAAATGAAGGGTGCTGGTAAAAAAAAACAGCAATACTGTGCATTTCTGTTTTATTACCCTGACACAAATAGTGCAGCAATTACTGTAGAATTTGTCAAGAGGTATCCTATTTGATCAGTCTTTACTAAACAACAAGGTAACCTTGGTCAACATTATTAAGGAATTCAACCAATCTGTTTTTACAAATCGTTAAAGAGACAACAACACCCGGCTAATTCTTTGGACCACAGAGTTCACTTTTTCTGCTTTTGGAAATGTTCATCGTGTTCCTCAAGTGTTGGTTACATCATTAATGTCATTAAGTCTATAAGTCTTAATGCTCAGCTCAGCTCCTGAGACCTCAGTGGAACTGAGATAAAGGCTGTAGATGGCCTGTCACACCTGATTGATAAGCAGCTTTTCCTTTTAGACATTGACCAAAGGGGAGAGGAATTAATTATCATAGCCTGACCTCTCTTCATTCCTGAAAAGAAGCACTAAAAAGCTGAACTCTGACCTGCCTCATGCACTATGATGTACACTGTCAGGTCTCTGCCTCTAGCTATACAGAAAGCCAAGGTCAGGCGAGGGGACAAAGAAGGATTTTCCTTATAAATCTTGAACGGATGGTTAATCCCCATCCTGAAAAATGTTTAAACATGGAACATATTTCAATACCCTTGACCTCATCAAATTCTGCTGAGAATCAATTAACCACCACTCCTTTTTGATGTCAGATATTCTTTCTGGCCAAAGGAATCCTAACTTTTCCTGATAAAAACAATCTTATATCTAATTGGTTATACAACAGCCTTACTGGTTGAAATTTATTTTTCTTTGGAATATATGAATTGCTGCCCCCTTTCAATCAAATTCCTTATCAATGTTTCTGTTAATTACCTTCAATAAGTTAATGATCATGGACTTGCGCCAGAGGGCAAAGGTCAGGGTACTTTGATCACCTGTTCTGATTGACCAGCTGCCTTCATCTCCCCCTCCATAAACACACACAAGCCCAAAGTTCAGGGAGGTTCCAATTGGATAACAACATCAATCACTCTCAGAACTCTGTGCCTTTTTTCAGCATGGCATTCCTGGGTTATTTGTTTTAACTGTTCATGGGTTTTCCATAGAAACAGTACAATATGATCAATAAAACCCCATAGGTGTGGTATTTGAACCAGTTTAATGTGCTCTGTCGAGATGTATTATAAATAAAATGCTGAAGAAAAGCTGAATGCCTGGACAAAAATGCCAAAATCATTCTAGCCATCCATGATTTTACTGTTATGTTTGAAAATTTGTCTTTTTAAATATTAGAGAATAGCACCAGTCCATCACATAAGTGATGTTATCAGATTGTGCTCACTTTCTTGTCATACAAGAAACGTGTAAATAAAGAATCCTATTTCTGATTTAAAGCAGAAAACAGATTATTTTATTTTTTAGAGCAAGTGTATTTGAAAACTTATCTAGGAAGCAACTGTGTCACTCCCTCAGGGAGATGAAATGTACACCTATATGTAAATTATAAAATAAACCTATTTAATCACAGTGGTGTGCTTTGCGTTTTCTTTTACAGAATTGTACCAGACAATGACAACGGTTAAATCACATCCTGAAAAATACATTTTAACAATGAACCTATTTCAATATCCTTGTCCTCATCAAATGCTGAACAGAATCAATTAGCCACCACTCCTGTTTGATGTCAGATATTCATTCTGGCCAAAGGAATCCTAACTCTTTTTCCGATAAAACAATCTTATATCTATTGGTTATAAATAAATACGACAGCATTACTGGTTAAAAAATGCTTTTCTTTGGAACATATCAAAAATAATTATTAAAGACTTATTTTAAATGTCCCTTTTAAAGTAAAGTACCATGTATTGCACAAGATAAGTGGAATCAGTTCCTGGAGTGCTATCTGAGTGGAGTTTGCATGTTCTACCCATATTCACAGAAGATGCTCCGGTTTCCTGCCACAGTCCAAAAACGTTCTGGTAGGTTTATTGGCTTCTGGGGAAACTGGCCCTGGAGTGTCTGTGTGTGCCCTGCAATGGACTGGTATCCTATCCAGGGTGTACCAGGGAAGAGAAGGGCTGAATCTTGACTTGTGCATATCATAGATTTGTGGGTGAATGCATTTTTTGCATACAGTATGTATTGAATGTATTTTCTGCCCACACCGAACCCCTCCTCCAGAATCAGTGCTATGTAACAGGCCTAGAAGGCTCGCTTCACTCACAAACATCAAAATAAATATAAAAAGAGTGGTTGGTATGATGGCACGGTAGCTGGCATTGTAGCTTTTCTGCGACCCGGCCCTGGGTTCAATTCCTGAGGTGCTATCTGTGTGGAGTTTGTGTGCTCTCTCGGTGTTTGCATGGGATTCCTCAGGCTGCTCTAAGGCAGAGTGGTAGGTTTATTGTCTTCTGAGAAAATTGACTTTGTGTGTCTTTGTGTTTGTCAGTCCACCCTGCAAAGAACTAGCGTCCCATGCGAGGTGGCCTGTCGCAGCTGAAGAAGTGGTTAGAAAATGGACAGATGGACACATGACACAAGGAGATTCTGGTTCCATATTTTTCTTTGGGAAGTAGTAGCTTAATTGGATCATTCACATCCCTACTACTGCTCGTCTGTGGTCCTGTGAGTTCAGCTGCAGATAGTGCAAGGACAATCCTGATACTTAGCCCACTTCTGGGTGAGAAATTGTTCTGTCATTTCATCTGGAGAAGCACACCTGACTTTCAGTCTCAAGACAACATTAGTACACATGAAAAGGAACCAGGGTAAAACAACAATATTAATTCAAACTCCAACCCCCTTCCAAAAAAAAAACAAACCAAAAACAATCAAATTCACTTCCTCTTAAAACTGAAATGAAAAGGGGAAAATGTGACATTTTTTTACAACTCAAACTTGTGTTGTAAAAGCGAACTATCAGAAATACAACTCTGAGGAAATAAATACAGCACATCTGTGTGCTAACAGAGAGAACTATGAGATGTTCTTTATACAGAGCTTGAAAGGAAGACGTAATGGATAAGTGAATACTCTACGCAGCTATAGTTGTTTTACAACTTCTAACAAAGGCCGATTTTATCAGGTCTTGGTGTGAACTTGTGTTTAATAAGGCCTCGATTAAAGTGCTGCTTTGTCAGGCTGGGATTCTGAGCTCCCTTTCTGCACACAGACTCACTTAAACACTAAGCAGTATTAGCAATAACATTACTTGAGGAAATGGTTGTTCGTGTGAAAGATTTTTTTGACTGAATGTAGACATTAAGTCTTCTCTGACGAGGTAAGCAGTGGGGAATGGGCTCTAGCAGCACACACGTCCTTTTCAGATTCCTGCACCGAAACAAAAACGGCCTATAAATTCCAGAGGTAGTAAGGTTGAGGGGAGCCTCTGTTTGTACAGAAAATAATGAAGGAAAGCTTTGTTCCAATAATGATTACTTAGTAAATTCAGTTTCCTTAAAAAACAGGCTAATACCAAGGATTAAAACACTAGGCACACAGACTTTGTACACATTTCCCATTGCTTTCCCCAAGACATCCCAAACAGACGGCATGTTCTTTAGCTGCAGTCGGAACATCAGGCGGATAATCTTACTTGTTTCGTTCACTGAACGGTCAGGCTTATTGACAAGAGACTTACAGTAGGAAAAGCCATTGGATAGGGGATCCTTTTCAGAAACACAGACGTGACCCCCAGGAAAATGTATTTAGTTTAATGTCTTCAAGATCAAATGAGGTCACTTTTGTAGCCGTCACACCAAATTCTGTTAAATTACTGGACGTTTTTCCAACATCTGAAACAATGCACAGGAAGGAGACATTGCAGGCTGGCTCAGGAGAGCCTGTGTTTTCAATGACAAATTCCACATTTTTCTCAGTTAGAACACTGCCAGTAAAATGCCATATTATCCACAATTTGTATTATATCCTGTATCGTATTAGTCTCTGAGGTGACTCAGTCTATGTGCTATGTTCTTCATATAGGAGACATATTTTGCAAGGAATGAACACAAAACTGTATAAGGGACGAAGGAACAGTCGTTCATACTGAAATTTTAGCTTAGAGCACAAGTCTAGGTTAGTAAGGAGAAATAAAAGTAATTAAGAGAACACGTATTGGAAAGGACAAAAATCAAAAAGAGCTGGTTATAGCTCCAGCCTTTTTGTGTCTTTCTGATTTTCTTCCAGTATATAGAGAGCTGACGGGATACCCACCAAGTTATAGCAGCACAATGCTAGCAGTCCACCATTTCTTACAAAACACATTTTATATGTATCTTGGTTTAATAACCAGTGCTTCTCTTGCTCATTAAGAGATCTTTCTGGTCTGTAAGCCAGGAACTGCTTCTTTAAAAGAAAGCCAAACAGCTGGGCAAGCAACTCCCCACCTCATTATAACACCTCAGTTGTGAATTTCTCGACTTTACCAATGACACACTGACACAGTATCATCCCACACGGGATTACACGGTGCCAGCTCAGAGCACACCATCAGCAGGACCTCCTACACAGCAGTGCAGAATTTATATCATGTTAAATATTTTTTTTTACTGGCAAACAGATTCAAGTCTCTTTTTGAGGTTTCATTGGAATGTTGAATGCAAAAGAAATAACAGAAGATTCAACAAGCAATTCTTATCATCTGCACACAAACAAAAAATCATGTTTTTCGCCCAGATTAAACTACATAACAGTTTGGTCAGAACTGTCGGTTAATGCCATGTAAATACCTGAACTGAATTATTTTATCAACGCATACTTGGACATAATGAGTATAATATATTGTAATGTTAAGTCTTACACATAAATAGAATAAATGGAAATATGTCCTCGGTAAGAAAATGTTATGCTTGACTTGATTGAATCTTTTCAGTTGTGACAATCGTGGCTGCTTTCAAGGTAATTCAACAGAAAAGCCACCACAGCAGATTTTATTAGTATGCTGAGCACATATGTAAGTGCCTGGGATTCTTTTTCTTGCATTGTTAGAAGGTTATTCTCGTGTTTTTTTCTAACAGTTTTACACCCATTTTCGGTGCAAATGGAAATCATTCACTTTGTGAACTGAAGAAGAAACTCTTCAAAAAGTCCCAGCTGTGATCTCAGGATTCCCCTCCCCTGCACATAAAGAAATGGTAGATTTAAAAAAAACAAAGTACACTTTGTACTATGCACCAAAAACTGACCTTTTTAAATATTCATTGAATTTAACCATCTTCTTCTTGTATTTCACGAATTAGAGATCATTACAGCCCACTTGAGTCTCCACTCAAGTGTGCTGAATGGAGTGGTTCACTGTCCTGCTGTTAACACATACGAATCACAATAATGATTTCTGTCAACACGTTAGCTCAGTGGTTAGTATTGCTGCCCCGTAGCTCTGGGGTTCCCGAATACCTGGGGTGCTACTTGTGTGGAGTTTGTATGTTCTCTCTGCGTTTGCATGGGTTTCCTCCTGGTGCTCCAGTTTGCTCCCATAGTCCAAAGACACATTGGTAGGATACTTGGCTTAGCCCTGGTGCGAGTGTGTGTGCTCTCTGATGAGCTAGCGTCCCGTCCACGGTGTTACCTCCCTCGCTCCCACTGCTTGCTGGGATAGGTTCTGGCTCCCCTGCAGGCCTGTCTTGGATAAAGTGGTTTTAAAATAGAATATTAACTATATTTGTCAGCCCAATTCCTCTCCCCATGGTGACAGTATACAGGCACGGAATGAATATTTAACCAGATAGTTATAGGAATGTATAACTATCTTCTTCCCCCAAAGAAGGTTCCACGGTCGAAACGTGTTTCTTTTCAGCGTGGAATAAACTTAACTTGTTCCTTTGCAGCCTCTGCATGCTGACGCAGCTACCTACTTTAACCATCTGCTGTTCATTAGCTCAGATCCTTTGCTCAGAGCACAGCACTGCAAATCATTGGTTTACATGAGACCCTATGCAGAAACACCAGGAAAGGTGTGAGGAACACAGAAACAGAAATCCAAACCACAGATGCGTCTGAGTGAACGGGCTCACACATCCAGATGGCCTTTGAGGTGCATACATGAATAATACATAAACTACGAACGCGATCAGCGTGGTGGAAGTAGACACTTCTGTCTTTCTCAATTTCCTTTCATTCCATTCCTGTTGCCCATCTTGTTGCACCAACTGGGTTTTAGTTTAATATTGTATGGGCTGTTATGATTACTTCCAGCAAAAACACTCCTCAAAGTCCATGAAGCCGACATTGGTGTTACACCAGGCCTTCCCCTCCCCACAACATCATCTTCTTCCCCGAGATGTTCCATGAAAAAAGCAGTAATAAATATCAATCGTGATTTAAAAACAACTGCTGTGAGTAATTAACTGATGGGTGAAGCCTGAGGCCAAAGCAATAAATAAATTCCTCTACCGGCTATTCAGGATTTTCTCCAACTTCACATAGTTTCTAAGACGGTTCTGTCCTTATTCTCCTAGTTCACTTTCAACTCTGCCGCATTTTCTAAAACCGCAAATTCATTTCTGGAAGTGAGAGAATGAAACAGT